AAAATCAAATTTGTGAAACCAAAATTCAATTTCCAGGTGTTTGCATTTAATACCATATTCTGACCGACAACCAAAACATTTTTCCTTAATTTTCTTTTCATTTACAACCTTTAACTTTCATTCTTATTTTGCTTTGGCCAGGCAATTAACAATAAATCCGAAATGGCGTATTAAAGATGATAAAATATGACTTCCACTTCGATAAATAATCGAAAAAAACTAGTGAAGACACCGATTGGAATGAGTGGAAAGTAAGTAATTTTCAGCCAAAACTGGTTTTCGTTTAACAGATTTTATATGGACGAAAACACAAGTTTTAGGTCGAAAACCAGCTTTAGCAACGAAAACATGTTTCCGATGTCGGTCAGAACCATGGTGTAATGAACTGAAGGTGGCGCATTCCCGAAACCGCTACTTTGGTTTTGCCGACTTTGACATTTATGGCAATACGTAAACAAACTTTTTGTTTAGAAACAAGTGCAAACGTATTGTGTACTTTCGAGTGAAAAATCGAAGTAATTCGTGCGTTCTGAATAAAAAACGTTTTATTTGTAATAAAAACTTTATAAAAATGTCGTGTCGTGTGTTGAATTGCAGCAGCCGTAGGGGTAAAGCCCCCAAATGCAGTTTTTTTTTTGTTTCCCCGCGACGACGCCTTGGCCAGAAAGTAGGTAGAGTTCTGCCGGCAGGAGAAGCCATACAATTTAGACACCAGCGTAATATGCATGAAGCACTTTACGGACCACTTTTAAACACGACATGTTGAGTTGAAAACGTTGAAATACCACAAATTACAAAGTAAAATCGGAGGTAAGCAAGCATCGACCACTTTCTGCAGGAAAACATGCGCTGCGCTAAGATATTATCACTTTTTCGGGGCCTGCAATATAAACACAAAATTAATTAATCAATTAATAAGACCTATTCTTTTGAACACATTTCAAGAGTGGTTGTATATTTTTTGTTAACGTAGTGCTTAATTTGCTATATTCAAAGATGGCTTGAGAAATTAGTGAATCGAGAAGAACACACGTTTTCTCACTGCAAATTCACAACTGTCAACTCATTGTTCTTCGCCATATTCTTTGTTTACCCGTTGCGAATCTTGTATTCTATCGTTCTTGGGTCAGAACATGGTATAAGTGACAAAAACAAGAACAACGTGAATCAGCTGTTTATCGACTTGTGGGCACGAAATGTGGGTTTTTGCGCTTCCGTACTTCTGAACTTTGTTCCATTTTTGAAAGAACATGTTTCTCTTATTCTCTAATTACCAAATCCGGTCCGGATTGGTAGGGAAAGAACCTAGTGTTGATATTATCAGTGAACTGTAATTTTCGATTTTCTTTCCTCAACGTTTAAGACATTGTGATTTAAATAATATCAACAAAATTTCTGTGAAAAACCGAAACCGGAACGAAACCGAAACCAAAACCGAAATAAATTTTGAAGAACGAAACCAAAACCGAAACCGAAACACTTGGCAAAACCGAAACCCAAACCCGAACGTTATTTTGAATCGGTTTCATTCCTTGATTTTAAGTATCTCACTGACTACGGTTGTGAGTATTGGTTTTGAAAATTTGTCGTTTGATTCAAAGCGGGCAGTGTGTTGCCGCCACTAGAGTGAGGAGTTCTGATTTTGACCGTTATGGTTGCCCAGATCCAACCGTTTGTCACCCGTGTCCAAATATATTAATGTTAGTTTTCTTTCTTTTGAGCTTACCCTTAGCAGCCAACCCAGTATATTTACTATTTAGAAGCCTTCGACCTCCCTCAACTAATATTGAGCGCATGTGTAGTGTAACAGCCCAAAGTACTGACTGCCGTTCAGCTTTCAAAATAGATGATAGGCATCTGACTGCTTAACAACTAACTGACCGATCCTTAAAGATATCTACGTATATCTGGTAAGCAGTTATTTAATTAGTCTGGAGGCCCCACTTTCAGTTTGTTTTAGAGTTCCGTATAGCATGATCGGACGTGTAAAAGTGAACTGCTACTTCCTTCCAGCTGCTGCCTAGCCCCCATATATTCCTTGAGGGAATTCGAGTAAAGAAAAATCTGCCTAGAGCTAGTAGTAGACAGTGAGCTTTGCTGTCAGCGACAAAACCAAAGTGATCAATAATTTTACAGATCTGTATGCTCATTAAGCACTGGATACTTAGTGCACTTTAAACTGACCATTTCACGTCACGCAGCTACATACATACTTTTCCAGCAATGTTTATTGGGAATTATATTCATTTGGGTAGCTCACTGATGCTATTTTACTCTTTTTCAATAATGAAGTTCCTTAAAGATTCTACACAAATGATGCTGAAGAGTTCAACTCTATCAAAATCGAAAGGAGAAAGTTTTGCTATGAAAGAAAAGTTGGGCTAGGAATTGTATACTTCTTGGTGGATATCCATAAACCTTGCCTTCAATTGCATAGCTAGTCACTCGAAAGCCCTACCACCGCTATTTCTCTGAAAAGTAGTGAGCTAAAACCTGAAAAATTACGCTTGTTTTTTAAAAGTACGTCAGTATGTCGACAATGACCACAATCACAAAGTCCTTATGCGCAAATGCTTCCACTATCTACCTACATATCTCTACTGCTAACCAGAATATTCTCTACAAAATTACATTTTTGACAAAATATTTGACTGAAATTCCTCTCAACTTTATTTCATTTTGCTCTTCCCTTTCCTACGCTTTTTTTTCCAGTTAATAAGCGAAATTTAAAACTTTTCTCCAATGCCAAGTTAACAAAGTTTCTGATGACTGAGGCATGCAGTGTGCGAGTATGTGGCATGTGGCATATGCAAAGCTTCAATTCTGCATACACTATGTAGCGAATGGCAAAGATAATGCTTTAAATTAGTTGTGCATGCAACAAAGCCAATAAAACCAACATTACAGAAGCAACAACAATAACAACTGAAACTGAAACAAAACAAGTGACGGCAACAATGCTGCCGAGGCATTATTGCGAGAGTGATAAGTTGGTTAGTATGAACAAAAAAAAGAAAAAAACGGTTAGTTGCGAAACTTTACATCATTTTGATACAATTTTAAACTTGCACGCCTGCAAATATGCATTGCAATATAATGCGCAATGCGAAGTTAATTTAATGGAAATGTATGGTTGTCGGCGTTGCAATTCGTTTACTAGACATTGTGCTGCGCCTAAAAGTTGATTATGAAATTTCAAATTGTTTACGCGAACTTTTAAAACTGTCATTAGGCGTATAAGGTGGACAAGGTAAGTCAAGCTGGCGGGTAAAATGATTCAAATTTCCCTTAACGCCTGAAAACAATAGCTGAGGGAAATTCGTTCATCCTACCAACGCGCCTTAAATTATACTTTTGAAAGAAATAAAAAAATTTTAAAAGAGAGCACTAATAGGTAACTTATAACTTTTCTTTATATGAATTACGTATGTACATAGAGAGAAAAGTTTAGTAACGTCCGCAAAATATATTTCCAAATCTTATGTTGAGGGAAATTTATTAAGCTGACTCTTTTCTCAGTGTAGTGCGTAACGAGCGAAAATAACTGTTAAATATCAAGACTTTTATTTTTTCATTCAAGAATAAGCGCTAAAATGGGATTTCTATTTGCTCTGTCAAATTTAATCGATATTTTGTGATTTTTAATTTATATTTTACTAACCGTTATAATGTAGAATTGCGGTTTTATGACCGATTTTAGAATTTCGTGATCTAAAATTAACGATTAAAGATTTGATCGAAAAAATAAAAATTATAAAATAAATTTGAACGGAAAAATAACAAATAATATCAAAGCAAAAAAATAAAACGGACTTCAATTCTCACATAAAAATTTAAGATTATCGTTGATCTCTTCACGATACAATTATCGAATCTAAACATCCATCCCTAAGGGTACCACCTTTCCGGTGAAAAAAGAACTATCGAAATCGGTTAACGTGGTCCAAAGTTATGCGGTAACATACATAAAAAAAATATATATACATATATATATTCCGACGAACTGATAGCTTCCTCCTTTTTTTTGAAGCCGGTTAAAGATCCAATTTTAACGGTTAAATTATGCTTTTTATTTTAGACATTATAACGCCCAAACCTAAAACTCTGGAACGTGAACTTATTTTATATTTTAGTATTAAAAGCTCTACCAGTAAACCATTGCTAAGCGATGCGCTGCTTCTTCACTTCTATAGTAGTTACATAAAATGCAAAATTAATTAAATTGATTTCCTGCTTGCTGCTATGGCTGCCGCTACATAAATTCCCCTTTTCATTGTATTCACTGCTGTTTCTCAGGTTTTTGCTGCAGTTCACTTTAGTGGTTGCCGCAACTTTATTGTTTAGAAAATTTATTTACTATTTGCAAATGAAATATGTATGTAGTACAATAGTTGGCTACTATAGTGCTGCTATGAATGAAACTTGGTAAGAACATACGTACATAAGGGGGCCATAATTGCGGCAAAGGCTTCGTCGGCATTGCAACTCATAAAAAGGAACTTTACGAACTTATTTCGAAAATAGCAAAACAATAGAAACTAATTAACTTCGTTGCAAGCTTGTAAAATTTAAATACAATTCAAGGAATAAAAAAGCAAACATTTGTAAAGAAATACCATTACGAGTATGTGTGCATTTAAGCAGGCGAAGTGATAGGGGCGAAGCCAAAACTATGCAAGAAAAATACTTTCATGTCTTTGTTGTTAATATGTTACTGCACTCCGTTTTATTTATGCGCGTTTTCATATTCATATGCGGACACTCTGTTCATTTATGTAGATAGCATACATTTACATTATTTTTAAAGTTTCAAACCAAGTAAGATACTATCGTTTTTCCAGTAATTTTTGCTTTTAATTTCACTGTGCAACCAAAAATAAAAAAAATAAAAATATACCATAATACACTTCTACTTAGAACATCATCGTCCAACTAGAAGGGACATACTTATATACGCGTATCTAAATGTAGAAACTTATATTCAAATTTTTACAACTTACCATTTTTCGTTTACTGTAATGTGTTCTTGGGTTCCCCCTGTTGTTGAGGTCGTTACAATTGCTGTTGACTTTGTTTTATGTATGTATTTTGTTTTAGAATTGTTTAGAACATTACAAAATTGTACGCACGTGACTGCAAATAAAGAAGAAATCAAATGGGGGAAACTATTATTTTATACATATTTATATATATATATGTACATAGATTGTCACGTTTGTGCAGGTCTATGTTCAATTTTTTGCAATCTTTTTTCGGTAGGGTGGTTTAATATGCAAACAATTGTACAAATGGTAAGCTTAACAAGACCAGCGTGGGGTGAAAAAGCTCTTTAATTTGACACAATAAAAGTATATATGTACTTATAGCGTACAATTCGGTTAGAATGAACTAATTCCCGGGAGAGGCCTGTTCACTCAACCAAGATTGCACATAAATAGATCTTAAATCAGGAATTTAAAGACACTTTAAGTTATAATTCATTCACAAAATGAACGCATTTCATTTTAAATATTATATCATATTCTGTTGAAATATTTTTATGTTTTAAAATGAATTTTTTCCAGAAAAAGTCTTTAACATTGGTTTGTTTATTTTTTTCCTATAAGACACTCCTTCTCGGCTTCGTCTCTAAAATTTCGAAGGACAAGTGTGTTATGGTGTGTTCGTGTTTTTTCGGCGCACTCGATAGTCTTTGAATAATTTTTTTTTTTTTTTAGTTCTTAATGTTCGTTCACTCTAGCCAATACAAAGAAATTATGTTGGCACTCTACAAAGTACAAGAATATTGGTGTTCATCCGATCAAGGAGTTCAGCTAAGCCGGGGTTCATTCAAACCCGATTGAACGGAATTACTATGCTGCACAAAATCTGTTATAGTACTTAATTTAAATATGGAATTACTTCCAACACTTAGTCAAGCTGGACTTGACACTTGTGTCGAAGGCCACAGCGGCCCATTGTAGTTCCTCCTAATACTAAGTACGAGATTTCTGAATATTCTTGAAAGAAACATCCCATCTTTTTGGTGAATTCAATCAGCCTATCCTACAAGTCAACGTGAGCGACCCAGATGCGAGATGTGGTAACCAATCCGTGTGGAGCCTTGGGTCCGGGCACTCTCCGGAAAGAGAGTTGGTCTAAGGGCTCACTGAAGTCTGCAGCGTCTATTCACCAGTAGGTGCGGCTGCAAGCGGGCGTCTGTTTGGAAGAAACCAGTTCCATCACTTGCAGTGAAGAAAAGAGACCAAACCACGAATGTGAAATCATGTTGAGGCGATATAAGAAGACATTCCGCGATGACCAGCATTCTTACATTAAGTTCTACAAGTTCCCGGCGAAGATGAAGGCTGACATGTACTGTATGCAGTTTTTTCTAAGCAGAAATTGTAAACTATTGCTTACCGCTTAGATTCGTTGCTAGGTACTGCTTGGCAGTTATTTGTTAGGTTATTTTCGCTATCGTTCACTCTGGCCGACAACTTCTTTGTTCTACTGTCGAAGCCTGAGAATTTCTGTAGAATTTAGTAATTTATAGTGAACAATAGTGCATCTTTACTGCATCTACTCACCCATAAATTTGCACATTTGGTAGCTATGTATGTACACTAGGGTGGTACTACCTAAAATCAAATGAACGATTTTTTCCGTCTCAACCCCTCCATCAGTAATAACACAGTCACAGATAACACATATAAATTTTGGTCACGATTGGAGTCGGTTAAGGAGTGTTGGAAAGGGGTCAAAGTCCGGACTCAAAAAAATTAAAAATATTTTTTTTTTTTTTTTTTTTTTTTTAATACCGAAAATCGATACTACTAAAGTCGAGGATATCACATATAAATTTTGGTACCGATTGAAGTCGGCTATGACGTCTTCATAGAGGAATCTGAACTTTGCCCCCTGTACGACGGGCCTTAGCCGTCTCCAATCAGGACCAAATTTAGATGTGATATCTTCGACTATAGTAAGTAGCATTGACGTAGGGGCTGAGGCTTAGGAAATCTGATATAAAAATTCACTTCCTACATTTAAGGACCATCCTAATGCACGTACTCGTGTGTGACCCCAAACGTGAGCAGCACAAAGGTAGCAAAAGTATTCGAAAGGGGACACACTTACGTAAATGAACACTGACTCACACACACACACACATACGGATACATAATTTTGCACCAAAGCTCTATACCTTAGCGCATTCAACGATGGCACTACGCGCTGTTGGCAGGCAAACTTCTTCACCCTATTTTTAGTGATTTTGACAGCCTTCCACCATCCTTACTCTTTTTCAACTTGCACACGTACTTGTCTCTACATACATATTTCATCTCCCTTTAGATATTTGCACCATGCATACATACATATGTATGTATGTATGAACATATGTATAGCTTTTGCTTATCGCAATTGCGTGCATCGTGCGTTGATTTCCCAACCGCTATTTGTGTTCTTTCGCTTGGTCGCTTTTTTGCTGTTGAAATGGGGGTCAACAACAGCTTTGCTATTTTGCTATTGTGCAAGATGAAAGCAATGCTGGCGTGTTTACGTACCACAAATGTATGTATGTATGTATGTAGCTGCGTCAACTGATTTGAAGTCAAAGCTTTTAAACCAGATGCGGCCGAGTTGCTTGATTGTAATATGATGGTTGAGTGAGTGAGTGTAAGGGTTGTTCGCATTTTTTTCCATTTTTTTTATTAACTCTGCTGCTGACTGCTTGATTAGCCGCCTGCTTTTTGCTTTTATAAGGATGCTTTTATTTATTTTTTTTTAACACTTAGGCGTTCAATTATGACAAAAAGGATTTGCCATAAGCGCTGAGTTGTCAGCAACCTCATTGTTGCTAGGCAGGAAAAAGCACTCAGGAACACATATGTATGAATGTATGTATGTACTTATGCACAAAAATAACGTTTAAATGTATAATTCTAATGGAAATAATGCTGAAAGAGCGTGAATACAGGCTTTTGGTAATTTCACTTGCATCCTAATGGCTTGCCTCTATTGAAATTACACTCAGTCTGCTCCCTCAGCAACGAAAGGCAGGAATAAAACATATCGTCATCCTAGAAGGTAAACTCTTAGCTAAAATAAAAGTCGAATTTGTACAAGGTGGTTATAACCAGGGTTGCCACTTACGAAAAAAGTACTAGCCATGGACTTGAAAAAAGTCTACCAAATCTTGGAAAATATCAACCAATAACTTTTTTAGTTATTTGCCAAAACTATAGGTTTGTTCTATTATTTATTATGTATTTTGATAAAAATTAATTTTTTTTTAAGGTAATTTTTATTTAAGAAATGATATGGTATTCAACCAAAAGCGAAAGCGGTGAAACTAAAGGCAACAATGAAGCCTCATCATTTGACAAAAAAGATTCTATTGGGGTTTCTTATAGACAATACAGTAACTTAAAAAACCGCTAGCTGATTTTTTTAATATTCACAATGTTTTTTAGGTAACAATTTTTTTACAGCCCATAAAAATCAACATTTACAAAACAACATTTAGAAAAATTAAAAAAAAAAATTTCGTCTAAATTTCGAAATTTTACTATGAATTTTTAGAGCAATTTTGGTTAAGCAGTTTTATAGCCAATAGAATTTTAGTATTACCTACAATGTGCAGCTAAAAATTCTGGTGAATTGAAAAAAAAATCGACCAGTCTTTTGTGTTTTTTTTTTTTTTTCGTTCAACAATTGCCATTTGTAATTACTGGCGTTGTTTTTTTATTCGTTTTTTTTTTTGCGAACAATCATAGTGTGCGTTTACATTGCTGTCCATTTTTTCTTTTTATTTAAAGAATCATTTAAAAGAGTTTTGAATAGAGGACGATATGTTCGCCTTTTATTGATATACAAACATAAGTATGCATGTATATAAAAAGCATTCGAAAACTAATGTAATAAAGTAGACTACACTTTTGGAAGGAAATTTTGGTAAATTCAGGTAAAAGAAGAAAACGACATAAATTTTAAAATGCCCTAATTGTCTCTATTTCAGTACACATTTCATTAATCTGTTGAAAATATAAAAAAAAATAAATAGATGTTATAATTTTGGTTAATGGAAAATTTTACTTCATAGAATGAAGGGTGTTAAAAGCTAGGGTTGCTTCTGTAATTAAGTTAAGATAACTTATGTTTTATTTAGGTTAAAAGATTACAATTAGTATTTTAATTTGTTCTAAAAGATTTAAGGCATGAGAGATTTGAATGAAAATGGAATGAATGTTTAAACTTGGTGAAAAAGTGAGTTATACAAATTTTGATATGTGAATAATATGAATTCTGAGCAAAGGTTAAATGATATTAAATGATGAATTGAATAGTTAAATTAAATTTAAATATTCACGATGACGATCGATGAGAACTATATGCCGGTATATTAATTCCCACGTTGATATGATGAAGCGGCTCGCTCCTCCGATGTGTTCCGATGTTTGCTGATAGGAGTTCATTGTTGCAAAGAAGAAGAAAGAAGGCAATGCGCGGGTTGTCTTTATAGGCAACACTGGAATGCATTTCCAGTATGAAATGGAAAATCCAAGCAGGGTTACTTTGAATAGGTAAATGTGCAGGGATGCGTTTAGGAGTCAAATATGCGCGACGATGCATCCTTCAAGTGCGCGCAAGTCACTTGAATGGGTATTGTGGATTCAGCGGATAGTGGGGTAAATTATATCCATAATTAAATACAATATGACAATGATATTCTTGGTTGTTGCGAATGACTTTACATCCACCAATACCCACACCTTACCAGCAATTGAGAACAATATTTGAGCGGTTTCCAGTATTGAGAAAATAGTTGGCTTCTGGTGTGGGCAAAGCCCTTAAATTAAGTCTTAAATCATACGCATATCGACATATACATAGTATCTATCGCATTGATATCATGTAAACATTTTTGTTCACTCTTTATTAAAAAAAAAAAAAACAAACACATAAATCCTCGACCTTTTCGCAGCCGAAAGTTGCACTTTTTATCACACCCATCACATTTCTTCACAGCTGATGTAATAAACTCAGGCAACGCTTTGTAATTGTCGTGACCCGCAAAGCAATCCATACAAAGTGTTTCACTCACCTTTCAACTCAAACACAGTCCAGTTTGCGCAGTCAATCGCTTCGCT